TTAAAACCAAATAAAAATAGTACTATAATGTACATTGGAGAGATCTGTATGCTAGAGAAGAAATGCATAAGTTAATAATTTATTAAAAGGTAAAAATCAACTAAAATTTTACCAACTAGTTTAAATTATCAGATTTGAGACCTGCCTACTCCAAGGAACAACAAAATATTTCTATGATCATGGATTTGAAGTATTGATTAATTTACGTATACCAACTCCTGAATTCCTGATAATTGCATTTTAAGTACATCAAAGTAACTATTTCCATTATCAAAACCAAAAATTTTAGATGTCACAGTGAAGTAATACAATAGTTGAAAATCTCAAGATCCAATCTTGGAAAAACACGAGTCATTCATTGAACTAAAAGAACCCATCAAACAATAGTACGAGTTATCGCCCAATGGAACTCATTAACCAACTAAAGATGTGTATACCGGAATTCGGGGTTAAAAGATTTCTCATTTCAACGGTTTGTGATACCAACTTAACTGTCCAAGCTGATGTAGGTTAAACAATTTCTAGCTTGTAACACAGTTGTTAGGAGTTAAATACCCTGACAATTAAGTGTAAATGCTCTAGTAAAAAGAATTCACAGATTCTGATAGTAATGTAAATAAGCAATGAAAACAGTGTTCAGATGAAGAGAAGGAATGAAAGAAAACATTATTGCTATTCTATGCTGATTTACAGAACAAAAATCATTATTTCTGTTATCATTGTTAGGAATAAATTTATTCTATGTAATAAAAATAAGAATTCAATAGAGATAAATGACTAAATACTAGGGTGAGTTAGGTTGCTAAAATAGCTTTTAAAAGCATTTCAGAGTGAATCCAACAGGATAGTTGAACCTACTCGACCGTAACCCGACCGAAGCTGCTACCTTGATGCGGTGGTCGAGCTTGCCTATCGTGATGACCCAACCGAGCTATATTGGCTGGAACATATGTTCCTGTAGGTTCTACCATGCCAGGCAGGTCGATTGGAGAACGGTAAGACTAAAAGCAGCAACTCAAGGTCTGAGGGCGAAGTCGTACTGCTGACTGTAGAGGGTGTGACAGCAGTAAGGTGTTTCCCTCGGACAACCAGCATGACAGCGATGCTGCCTTCCCACAAGGAGGGGTGGGGTTAGAAAAGGTCGACCCTAAAAATGTCACACCTCACCTTACCTCACGGATTTCCGTCTCCGGCGGTAAGGCCCTTTGAAGAACGGAGCTAACACGTTAAAAACCTTCCACAAAAAGGCCGTGCGCGACCGGCCTCAAGCAGTTGTCCCTTGGGCTCTGCGGTCACGCTCCCAGGTCGTCAAGACCAACACTAATCCAATTTCCTTTTCAGGTTCCTCAAGAAATACCCTTCCACGGTGTGGGCAGCCGGGAAGTGACATCAGCCCTCATACCCGTAACAGCACACGAGACCAAGTTGGTCACATTCAAATCCTTCCTACACCTCCTAATACCTCTCTTATCTCCATGACTAACCCTCCTCACGTCTCTTTATCACCTCGCACCGCTAGGGCAAACGATTCGAGTACGTGGAACGCTATTCCTGGTCTCCTGAAACCACGCTCTAAACTACACGTAGGAGCTTTTAACGTACGAACACTGTGCCAAATAGGACAGCAGGCTTCCTTAGCTAGGACTTTAGAATCTCGCGCCATCGATGTGTGCTGCGTCTCCGAAACGCGCATACAGGATCCGAGTAGCGTCATTCATTTGACCTCACCATGCCAAAATAAAGAACCGACTCGATTTACGCTTCGTGTATCTGGAAGCCCTGATTCTGCTTCCCGTGGCCTCGCCGGCGTAGGTATAGCATTGAGTCCTAGGGCAGAACTAGCTCTCTTAGAGTGGATCCCAGTAGACAGTCGTTTGTGCGCTGTCCGACTGAACGGAACAGTAAGAATCCGAAAAGATAGGGACACTCGTCGTTGCCTCTTCGTCGTCTCTGCCTATTCTCCCACTGACTGCAGCTCAGATGATGTAAAAGATGAGTTTTACAGAAAGCTTTCCGACCTTCTCCGAAAAGCTAGGCGCTCGGATGTAGTAATAGTGGCCGGTGACTTTAATGCTCAAGTAGGTAAACTAAGCGATAGGGAAAGACACCTAGGTGGATCTTATGGTGTCGTGGCTCAAAGAACAGATAATGGCGACCGTCTGTTGCAGCTATGCTCAGATAACCGCCTGTTCCTTGCAAATACTAACTTTAAGCATAAGGAAAAACATCTTTTAACATGGCGACCCCCTAATTCGTCCCAACGTTGGACCCAAATAGATCACATCGCTATCAGCCACCGATGGAGGGGCTCGATAGAAGACTGTCGCTCATTCTGGAGCACATGCTTAGATTCAGATCATGCTCTAGTGCGAGCGCGTATTTGCCTGCGTCTTACTGGACGTAGGAAAGACGCTGCAAGGAAACCTCTTAGGGCCTACTTAATGATAGTCAAGCTAAGAGTATATTTCAGGAACAACTAGGAAAACAGTTAGGCAGCCATGTATGTGATGCCCACCCCGAGGCAGCATGGAATGATATCCGAAAAGCTGTGGAAACAGCAGTGATATCTGCTAGTAAGGTAAACCAGAAGGTTAGGGAGCAACACTGGATCTCAGCAGCATCTATCGCACTGATAGATGCTCGGAAACTCATTCCACCTGGCTCTGAACATAATGAAGAGCGGAGTCAGCTTAAGCGCAAGCTGACAAGAAGTCTACGCAATGATCGTGAACAGTGGTGGGTAGCGAAAGCAAGAGAGATGGAAAAGGCAGCGGCAATAGGTAATAGCAGACAATTGTTCAGACTTGTTAAGGAAACCGGTATTAGGAAACCGACTGTTAGCGAAACAATCTCAGAGAAAGATGGACATATTATACATTCTCAATCCAGGAGATTGGATCGATGGGCAGAACACTTTAGGGATCAGTTCAACTGGCCTTCAGCCACACTTCAGTTTCCCGCGATTTCCAGTCAACCTGAATGGCAAGTTAATGTAGGTCCTCCGACTCTTGACGAAGTTGAAAAAGCCATAGGAAATCTGAAGCGAGGGAGAGCTTATGGCGAACTGTCATCATAATTGATTACCTCAAGTGGTGTTCGTCAGGGCTGTCCACTCTCTCCATTCTTGTTCAACTTTGTCGTCGACGTACTTTTAGAGATAACACTTTCCTCGTCTAGATTTCCAAGGGTTGAACTTCTACCGGGAGATTCACTTGTTGACTTAGAATATGCTGATGAAATAGTTTTATTTGGCGAAGACGCTGACAAAATGCAGAGTCTTCTGACCACTCTAAGCAACAATGCAAGCATGTTCCGGATGCGATTCTCTCCCTCGAAATGCAAAATGTTGCTTCAGGATTGGGTTGCATTGACACCCGAACTAATGATAGGGAGTGAAGTAATTTGGCGTGTCGATCGCTTTACTTATCTTGGAAGTCTCATCAGCCCTTGTGGTCTGGTGTGTGACGAAATCTCAGCACGGATACAGAAGGCTCGACTAGCTTTTGCCAACTTGCGTCATTTATGGAGTAGGCGAGATATCCGTCTATCAACCAAAGGACGGGTTTACTGTGCAGCAGTTCGTTCCGTCCTACTTTATGGCAGTGAAACGTGGCCGGTAAGAGTAGAGGATATTCGTAGGTTACTAGTATTTGATCATAGGTGTCTTCGAAATATTGCTCGTATATCCTGGGACCATCGAGTAAGTAATGCAGTTGTTAGGAAACGGGTACTAGGTAAGGATGGCAAATAAATTGATGACGTAGTGAAACTTCATCAGTTGAGATGGCTTGGACACGTGTTACGTATGCCCAACGACCGACTGCCTCGACGTGCGATGTTCAGTGGTATAGGAGTAGGTTGGAAGAAAGCTAGGGGCAGCCAGACCAAGACATGACACAAGTCCATGAAGTCACTGACAAGTGGATCTGAGTCATGTTGGTACGTGTAGACTACCTGGTTGGGATCCGCGTGATAATAGCAACCGATGGTTAGAGACCCTGAATGACATGGCTCAAAATCGTTTGCGATTGCGCAGGTGCATACACTCTTTGTGTTCTCCCAAATTTTGATCTTCTTATTCCTCCTTGTCTTTTTTTTCTCTTTCCAAATTTATTTCACTGTATTATACTCCTTGAGTAACATCTCCAAACGCTAATCTACCCGATTACTGCTTATACTCTTATTACCTCTACCACTACGGGATTTGAATCGACCACTGCATCTCTGTGCTAATGTGGTATGGCAACTCGAACTGATGTACGTACGTACGAAGCTCTACGTTGTTACTGACTGACTCGACCGTATTGTGTGATAATTCTACTTCATTTGTAAACTTGTTCAACGTTGTCTTCAAACAATTGATGGTACATGATAAAATCACTAAGTAATGCTGAGGTTAGACGCAGAGTTTTGGGTAGGAGTAGTAAGCCATTCGATAAGGCCTCTACCGACTAAAGAATGTTTATTACACGTGATTGGCCACCACCTAGCCCGACATGCAATCATGACTAGTGTAGGGAAAAATTAATAGGAAATTAATAACAGTCAGATTAAGCCACATCATCGGTATTAAGGTGCGTTGTTTGGGACTCGACTGAGACTTATGAAATATATTGGTTGGCACAGATCACCGTGGTGCTGTTGCATTCATTTTCTGTTTTTCTCAGGACCTTGATAATAGTATAATCGCACGCTCTTGATTCTTAGATGTCATTCATTTACTTTCAACTGTATTTCATTTAACTGTAACTGGTATTTACCCCGCTCTGCTTCTCATCTTGCAAACTTGCAAACAACTAGGATGAATAATAATTCAAAACAGGTCCCGAATTGATTTATGAGAAAGGAAAAATCGGAATAACGAACGAAATTTAATTAAAATATACATATTGTCGAAATGACAATTTAGTGATAATTAGTATTACATAACGACAAAATTAATATGCATAAACAATTAAATTCACAAAGAAAATATTACTAGTTACTAAAAAAAAACATACTACTGTGCATTTTCAGTATATTGTATGCCATAGCCAAGAGTAGCTTTTCACCTTCCAATAAGTAAATATCCCATAATCGAAGTACTAGGGTAACAGGTAACTGAAAAACCAACATACACATATACACATACATAAATTAAAATTGTCAGTTTGGCGAATATACCAAGACATTCATATAAAATCGGTAAACATGATTTTTTTGAGTTTTACAAAATCACAATGTTGACAGAACGAATGTAACAGTTCCAAATATTAAAACCTGACGCAACACACTTGAACAATTCATATACGTGACTCACTGATAAGGTAGAAGTTTAGTTACTCTACTTATAACCACACATTTTGTGAGTGTGAGGGCCAGTGATACAAATTAATGGTTGTAGTTTGCGTGTCACAGCCACTAAGTTACCGTTCCATATAGATAAAGTAATTAAATAACCAAAAGCAAAAGACTATATAACTCCAGGCACTAAATTGCGATTTACATCTGTGATGTGTAAGAGAACAGCACTGTCCGGTTAACAAGATCATAATATACGAAACGGGGTTGCGACTTGAAATATAAATGTTACATATGGTTATGATAGAGGTTAAAGTTAATTTTAATAATCATCAGTGCTACTATGTCGTGGAAAAGGCACGCTACATCAAACGGCCTAGTGACTAAGCCAGTAAAACACCTGCCCGATTATCGCTAGCAATTTAATTATAACCTGTATAGTAGGCAGAGACAGGCGTGTTCAGCTGAGTCACATTATTTCTGTTTGAGGGCCAGTGATACTGTAATGAACGAGAACACAGGTGGGTATTTTCATACAAAATACAGAGTTCTTTGGTCAAATATGAAAACCATACGTTCAATACTTCATTTTCAAATCCTCCATCAATTGTCTCAAACTTCATTGTTTCTTCGTTGCCATAACAATTACTCTCTGTTCCCGTTCTCTTCGATTCGATTTTCCCACCCTTATGCTGCCAAGCATTCCACTTCTGAATGGTGTTATATACTATTTATGTCGGCAGACATAAGTAGCATACACCACAATACTACCTGACTCCCTAAAATGAAATAGATGGAAGGGAGTTAAACTTGCAACCCAGTTGTAGAAAGACTAGAGTTTTATCCACTCCAGTCATTTTAGTATATTCAGCTCCGCGATTCAGTAAAATTGTTCACTTACAAATAAAAATGTTAACGTTGTAATGCAAAACAGTTGAGGACTATGGTGTACACTTAGGATATGTTGTTAGTTGGAAATAGCCTAAAACCACAAGTAATAAACTTATGAACAAAGGTTTACAGTACTTTAGTTAGTGAAGTTCAGATACAAGTTTGAAAGGGAACCGAAATCCCTAATAAAAGGAATCGAGTACAAAATATGTGATTAAACAATATTTAAGATTGATGCGTATTTAAGTGTTGAAAAAATATTAATGCAGAGTAGAAATGTTATGGTTAATAATAGTCATGATGAAAATAATGCATTACATAATCATAACAAAAAAGTATAGATGACTACATAATTAGAACTAAAATCAAATTAATAAATGCTCATCGATAAGATTATGCAGGAGATAAAAAATTATCTGACTGAAATCATATCAACTATGGCAAAGACGGAATTATAACGCCTTTCTTTTGTACACATAGGTCAGGTCGGAAATGTTTGATAGCGATTGCCTGTACAAAACAGTGGAACTAATGTTGATTATTTATTAATGATCCTGGGAACTTAGAGATATTCTTTTTAAGTCCATTATCCATCAGGTGACTATCGATTAGTGTTTTTTAGATATATGTTTCTACGGAAATGTTCGGGAAACCAAGTGGAAACTTATACAAGTGCTTCAGGAAGTATATGTAACTTGATAAATCAAAACGGATGTGACGTCGGAAGTTTACTGATCAACTTCGAATGGTTTAACGAGTATTTGGTACTGTATAGTGAAATCAGCTAAGCTGTAAAGAAGTTTTTTTGATATCACCCTCATTCTTTTGTCGATTCCTTCTGAAATCTTATCGCCATTTAACGGGAGACGGATGAAGATAAGCTTCCTTAAATAATCAATTTTGTGATTTTTAGGATACCCTTTTCCATATGTTTGAATGAATTTCTTTGGGTATGTCATTTCAATAAGGTACTTTTGATAATTGCCAACTCACCATTTATTTTATCGCTTAAGCATATTATTCTAGCCATGTTAAAGGGGGATTCTAATAAGACACCTTTTGGAAATGGTAGAACAAAGGTTGATATAGTTTAATTATTGCTTCATCACTTTTTGAATGACGGTGGTATTATAGTGCGAATTAACTGAAGTTAGAAATATGGACCATTAGGTTTGAACATAGTGAGCAGGAAGCAACGGTTCCATATCAATACGTGAGGCATTAGGGTTCCATTAAATATGGAACGATGAGTGTGAACTACTGAGTAATCCCGAATCAAGATAAGACAGGTTTCAAGTACTCAACTGTGGTTCAGTGATTGTATATATAAAATAATATTATGAGCTGTTACCATTATTTATTAGAAAGGTAATAAAGGTTTACCTAATAGAAAACTCACTCTATCTAAGAAACATTGCATGTACCACTTCAAAGCATATGTACTAGTTAACATATCATGTTTAGTAAAATGTTTATCCAATATGGGCAACAATTTACGAACAATACGTTCATGATGGGCAAATAAACGTTTTAATCCAGGAAAGTCAGAGACATATACACTATGCATATTATATCGATAACTGGTCATCAGTTGATTCAATGCCCAAAATGCATCCTCTTCATCTTCAATGTATATAAGAAATATCCCGGCCAACTCACTCATTCCCTGTAAAAAAAATATCAATAGTATCTTTTTAAAGTTACAGAATTCGTCAGTTTGGAGCTTGGAATGAATAATAATAATAATAATAATAATAATAATAATAATAATAATAATAATAATAATAATAATAATAATGCTAGACATTTTGACAGACATCACAGTACTGACAGATTTAATCGTTAGAAATAATTAGTTTTAAAAAAACAACTAAAAAGTGGTCACTGAATCGTTTAAGTAGTAATTACCAGATGTCGATCATATTTTAGGAAATTGAGGACCGATTAAGTTGATGGAGAGTTTGATTTTCATTTAAGCAAAACATTGAGAAAAGTTACTTCTCATATCTACTTTCAGTTGAATTTATTGAACATTAAAAATCACATCTCCCGAACTAAGCACAAAAAGATGAATGCTGATTTTATTTTACTGGAAAACAAATCTCGAGTCATTGTTGATTATGTATAATACGCTGATTTTTCAGCTGATATCAGTTCGTCATAAAAACTAACTTTCAATGTCGTGAAAAGTATGTGATACGAAAAATCCAGAGAGTACAAATGTGGTTCGAATAAAACTTGAAAGGTTTTAAATACAGATTTCAACCAGCCGTTGGAATGTAAGTATATATGACTAACCTGACAGTATCCAACTTCAGAGTTATACACTGAATAAGCAGCTAAAACACGAAATAATGCACATTGTCGTGGACCGTAACGATCACGAAAGTAAACTGTATTACGAAATGTTCGATTTACATCTAAATCGATTTGGTTGAGTGAACCTGAAGAAGATAGAGCTTGTTTGAGCATTTTCTATATAATTAAAAAGCACACAAAAAAAGAAAATACGTACATTGAGATAATAGAATAAATACTTATGAATAAATAAAATAGAAGATATGAGAGAATGAATAATTAACACTCATTCTAGAGGAAAATTAAAAATAGAAAATATTAATCAGGAGAAAACGGGATCAAGTACTAAAAAGTCTGAAATGATACTAAGCTCAAGAGTTGCGAGAAAATAATGAATAAGTGCAACTACGCTACTAAACTTTGGGTAGCTTTTTGTAGATCTTGTACGATTTGAAGGTGATTTTTATTACGAAAACCTCTAAAAACAAGAAAATACTGGACGGTTGTATTGAGTTAGTTGCATACATTATTCATTCTGTGATTTACTAGCAAGTCTTACAGTGACTACGATACTATTCAGCCGCTCAATCAGGATCCAATGTTTCACATTTTCAATTCCAATCGATTTGTGGAATAACACCATAATGGTGTACACATAAGTCACTAATTCAAAAATGTATTACCCCAAGTTCTACGCATACAATATTTCCACAAACTCACTTCAATAAGTAATATCACATTGTCATGAAAGTTAATTATGTATAAATTCATCAAATTCCTAAGAAAAACACAACAGCGGAAACTAATGATAAAATAACACATACACACACAAAATCATTTTTAATGACTTGGTGAATATATATGAAAACACAGAAAAGTAAACTTTTTGGAATTAGAGATGGACAGAAAGAAACTCATGCAGACAGATGTACAGAAAGACACTAATCCAAAGGTCTGACGTAATAAATTGAGCATTTACAATACTCCATCATACAAGCGTAAATGTCAGTAAATATATTTTAATCTTGACATTTATAAAAATGAGTTCGATTTAGCTGGTCAGAATAATAACACTAATTTATCATGTAAAGTCTTAAGACAGTAATCAAAATAGATAGTGACAACAGGGACCGTAGGTGACAGTCATCATTGTCTCTACAGAATGCACAAACTTCATTTGCCCGCTGTACAAAGTCAAACTGTGTAACTCTCTTTTTCTCTCTTTACAGATATTTTTTCTTATTAACGGATAAATGTAAGGCGCGAAAGCAGAAATTTGACCTCGCAATTGTTATATGCATGCAGACAAATGATCATGTCATGAATATAACCGACAAACCCACTTTAATTTCATTGAGGTGAATATTATTAGAGAATTGCATTATTATTACTTGTACATTCAAATAAATTAAACCGACTGACAAGATATTACCACAATACACAATACTACAGGTTATGTTACTTTTTAGGTGTACTAGACATTATCCATCCTGTGGGGTCGTGGGGTGTGTAAAACCATTGAGTCCCAAAACTATGATAAAATATTTGTTTAGTGGCTCTAGTTTATCGATCGACCCCATTTGATGGAAATTACCTTTTGAAAGTATAAAAAGTAGTTTGCATAGATCTTGAAAATGAAAGTTTTATAACTTTGATGTATAAAGAGTCAAATGTGTGTACGGCTTTTACTCTAAATAATAGCTAATATCATCGACTAAGACGGTACTTGGAAAACTTTATCCATGATAAAGGAGTGATTTTGAGGTAATTAATCTTCAGTTGATGTACTGATCACATAAGACAAGTTAAACGAGGCATAGTTAGTGGATCAACAACCCATGAATTACTGCATCGAAAATTTTTCTACATTCTGGAGTTCATACAGCAACGAATATACAAAATTGGTAGTTAAAGAAAAACTATCACCCTCGAACATCCAAAACAACATGTAAGAAGTACGAAAAAGTATGAACATAGCATTGGGAGACAGGAATACTTTCCGTAAAGTTTACAAACAAATGATCTGAAGACGGTTTCCTTTATGAAAAATCACTGGAAACCAAGATGTATTGCGCAATTGTTTCGTCTTAGTTTGAGACTTTTCAATTATAGTATCCACACACGAACCTACATGGGATCAAACTCAAAAAATTTGCGGTCGGGTGGGAGCACGCTATCACGACTGAGTCGGAAACGTGATGATCTATGTTTCCAAGCCGTCATAATTTACTTTGTGCATCACCTAAATTTAGACTAAAATTCCAACCTTTCTAAGGATTTTCATCAGTTCACAATCCAGTCTAATCAAATTATTTCTGAATTTTAATCAGATAATAAATAGAAGCTACAGATACCATCGTTTTGTATTCTCATTTCAATTGGCTAAAATTAGTAGGAAAGTTAGCTACAGACATTATATTACACATAAGATTTCAGCTTCAAAGTTTGTTAAACTGAGAATGTTATGTACATACAATTTTTAAGGGTTGAATTTGATGAAACAGTACACTAATATATTGGGTTAAGTAAACAAAATGAATCAATCAGTCATTGATAATATAAATGACAGTACGTTTGTTAGTGGATAAAAGTGGAATCCAAGTCACTAGTTTTGTCCTGTATAGGAGTTTCTAATTAGATGTACCTACATTCTAGTGAGTATTACTATCCACAAGATTCGAACACAGAGCACGTTTATGCAGATACCAGAATAGTGGGTTAGAATGTTCACCCTTTGTTTAATGTATATTGGCCAGAAGAGCTGTAAGCATTTGGCCTTACCAATAAGATGCACATCTAAACAATTAAGTTACATTGATAGAATATTTATTATCTAATACAGTCAATTCGATACAATGTAGGAACTAGCACAAGCTTAAATTGGTCCAATTTACCACCCATTTAATACCAGCACGATGAGACAAGGGTATTAGTTTCTGTAAAAAAAATCGAATATAAAGAATGAAGCTCAAAGAAAGGACAGATAAAGACAATAAATGAAAAGAATTAGCATATATGTATTAAAATACAACATCTATACAAAGGTAAAGAATGAATACATCCGTATCGGTAAGACAGATTTCATGTTATATGTTACATAAGACTTTCAACTACAAAGCAAAGACTATCTAGCGTGCCCCACCCAGGATAAAATCTTTAATTACCTAAAAGTCATTATTTTACCAAAACCGTAGAATACGAAATACCTAGAGGTGGGTTATCTCGAAAAAATTTTTTAACAAATATAGATTTTTCCAAAACGGGAAAGTGGTAAATAAGTTATATTACTATACATATGGATCCAGTCAAATAGAATATTGGGTAATTTGCTCAGGGATTATTTTTATAGTAGGAGGCGAATAACGGTAAGTTTCCTCACTAGATTTGAGTACAAAATTACTGTTAATTACCAAGCACAGGTTTGTGTAGCCGACTTCGAGTTTATGAAGACCAGTGACATCATCAAGCTCTCCAAAATAAAATACGTACAGAGGAGTTTGAAACTAGGACATGACCATTAGAGGTTGAGTATTTTAAATAAAGTGGCCAATTCTATATGGATTTGAGCAAGAGTCTATAGACTATGGTTAATACCCACGAGAATATAAATTAAGAAATAAATAAATGAACAAGTCAGTCAGTCATCTACAACGTAGGACCAGGCATATATATGTCGGTTCAAGTTACCACACCTCATGAGCACAACAAGATGAACACCAAATTTATAGAAGTAGTCACTTCAATGGTGGTAATATACAAAAGAAAGATTGAGTATAAGGATATAGTACAGGAAGAAGGAAGTAGTTCGTATAAAGAAATATAAAGCGATTTTAATCTCACGGTTTAAGGCAGGACAAAGAGTGTATACAACGATACCATTGGGATCGATTCTGAGCCGTGTCACCAAGAGTCTCCAACAATTCGTTGTGATAGTCACGTAGACCCCAACCAAATAGTCTGCATCTCCCAACATGGATCAGACTAGAAGTTAGTGAATTCAAGCACTGATGCCACGTTTTGCTTTGGCCTCCCCTAACCTTCTTCCAACCATCTCCAACACCGGTTAGTATTGCACGTCGTGGTAATCGGTCTTCACGCATACGTAACATGTGGGCCAACCATCACAGTCGATGAAGATTCACAACCTCATCAACTGATTTACCATCATTCCCTAATACCCTGCGTCTAACCTCACTATTACTTACCCGGTGATCTCAACAGACGCCAGCAATATTTCCAAGGCCTCTGCGGTCAAATACTAGTAGCTTACGAGTATCTTCTACTCTTAATGGCCATGTTTTGCTGCCGTAAAGTAGAGCAGAATGAACTGCCGTGCAGTATACTCGTCCTTTTATTGATAGAACGATATTTCGCCTTCGCCATAGGTGACGAGCTAAACGAGTTTTTCGAGTTCGTGCAGAGATTTCGCCTGACACCAACTCATTAGGGCTGATCAGACTTCCAAGATAAGTGAAGTTGTCGACACGCTCAACTACTTTAATCCCTATCCTCAGTTCAGGTGTTGACACAGGCCAGTTCTGAAGTAATAATTTGCTTTCTGATGGGGAGAAACGCATCCCAAACATCCTGGCGTTCTTGCTCGGTGCTACCAAAGACTCTGCTTCTAAGTCCACAAGTGGACCTCCTGGTAGGAGATCAATTCCCGAAAATTCAGTCGACGAGAAAGTTATTTCCATCAGTATGTCTATGATGAAGTTGAACAAAAATGGAGATAGTGGACAGCCTAGCAGTACACCACTTGAGGTTACGAAATCACATGACAGTTCGCCATAAGCTCTCACTCGACTGGTAGTGTTCGAGTAAAAAGCCATCACAAGGTTTATGTAATTCTGAGGTACACCTTTCAGTGACGGACACTGTCACAGAAACTCTCGGTCTGCAGATTCAAATGCTGTTTTCAAAGTCAAGAAAAACTATCATTGTTGGACCCCAACAAGCATGTCTGTGTTCTAAAACCCGACGTCTTTAAGCCTATTTGAGGTTTATTCAAGAGTAGGTGACGAAACTAGGTATGAATACGTAAACCTGATGAGTTGTCAGGAAAATGAAATACAAACATTCCAAACTCGATTATTTTAAGCGTACAATTACTTACTACTTAGCATTTCGAAGCCAAAAAACCCACCTTACTATCTAACCATTCAAACCTCAGTGAATGAAACAAGGTTAGAAGTTGTGACCTTTTGATTGAAAGTCGAATGTTAGCAAATTTTCAAGAACCGTAAATTTCACGTTGGAATACAACTAGAATATACACACACATGTATGTGCATTTAACTTAAATAAGCGAGGATACTTACCGCATAAATATCTTTATTTTTATTTTTATATCTGTCACACAGAGAAGAAGGGGCCAAACAGTCATACGAAATCGATCAGGAATTCCTTTAAAAATTCTTCGGGTTAACTGATAGTAGAAAAAAATATACATGCATATATATTTATATGAGAATTTACCGAGTGTGAAGGGAAAAAATTACAAATGATTGAAATAAAGAGGCAGGATTTTTTTAAGATTGTCAGCACAATTTTGTGTCTACATTCTTTAGTGGCACACTATTGTCTAAGATTTTAAGAAAAAACAGATGAAAACCAGTGTACAAGTGTACCAGTTAAGCTTATCATATAAATTTATAAAAGATATAATCACAAATTAATAATTTGAGTACAACTATGTTAATGAAGATTTTAAAAAATTGAATGTGACATTCATTGACATCAATTTAAACCGTGCAACTCTCTACAGACAAGTCAATCAGTATGTTTCTGTCTCGACAATCAGCTGAGATGTCTATGATGAGATTTTCCCAAAACAAAACGCATATCGTCGGAAAATAAATATAATCAGATCGTAATATTCTCATATATTTTAATACCTTCAAACGCTGATCCTCAATACACACAAAAACAGTTCACAATTATAGATTGTTCATGAACATGAGTTAATGCAGTAGATACATTTTAATCGCAGATATAATTAAATTTAGTGCCTAATAGCGTACACGAACAATCAGATATGTTGGAACTAAATACTGCTTGAATACATTGCTCTTCGCTTAGTGATGGAAGTTCCTGAACTGAAGAACACCCTATTTCCATTCATGAAGTGAATTGGAATGAAAAACCGATAGTAAAGAACTTACTGGACAGTTTCATTTTGGCGAAATGATAAGCAAGGAGCTTGAATCCCCTTGTGTCACCTATTAGTGGATAATGTAATGTGTGAATGGATAGGAAATTTCAATTAACTTCGGAGGAGAGGATGTATAAATAAGGGGAATGAAAATGATTTTGGATATATCAAGGGCTAAGCTTACAAAGTCTGTACCTTATTAGTTTAGCTAGCAATCAAGTAAGAACAACTTCATGTCTACGTAAACGTTTGTAATGAATCACCCCTATCTTATAAGACGTAACAGAACCAACCTAAAAATCAAAGTAAAATACGAATTAGGTGCTTAAACTTATTAATTTCCCGATAAATAAGTGCCGATGAAACGCGGTTACATAATAATGGATAAAACACTTTTATTTGAGTTTGAACTTAGATTGCAGATTGGATGAGATGAGAATTAGTAAATTGATGGCCCTATAACTTTTACTCGTCTAACTTTTGACCTATCGTAATACGCAAAGTAGAACCTGGTACGTATGTACATATGTTAAAAATATCATACCCTATTAGAACAAAGAGATTAAATTGTTAGGCCAAATCCCAGAGTAGTAATATAATTGGTGATAGGGAAGATTAGGCATCGAAAATACGATTCAGTAAAATATAAATCAGTGAAAACAAAGAGTGAATGAACTCGCACCACTGCAAACGATTTTAGGCCATGACATCATATAAAAAGAAACCATATAAGATATAATCATTGTAGCATAGTTGTAAAAAGGAGGAATTTTCAACAGATCTTTTAGCTATATGCAGATTTTTGTACCAGGTTTTGAGACAGTATTTGTATGAAGACAAATGATTCTAAGTGGGTACTTAAACCGAGGAAGTAAAGAGAGGGTTCGAACCTAAAGCTGATCAGAAACTGAGTGATTAACTCACTAAACCACTGACTCACACCTGAATGACTAGTTCTCCGAAGCACGATGAAATATATTACAGTAAATGATATAAATACTTACCTTTTCCGAAGCTCTGCCATTTTTGTACATACGATGCCATAAAGAATCAACTTCTTCCCACTTACTAATCATCTTTAGCCATTTATCAACACGACGAATATCATTTTTCCGATACTAAACACAGAAATACACAGTTTGTACGAATTAATTCAAATAGAAATTTGGAAATATTCCTGCCACAAAGCATATACACAACTTTACATGGAATCAAATCCCATAGATGGCAGTTTACTACTTAGTAGTTATTTTGTATATTTTATTTATTTATTTATTTGAACACATAAATATTGGTACAAGAGGGCACCAAATATATATGCGCCACACAAAACAATAGTAATGGGAAGAGAAAAAAAGAAGGTAAGGAGCGTAAGAAAAAAAGAACAATAACGAACAGATTAGTGTAAGGTAGTGTAATAATAATAATAGTAATAAAAATAGCAATAATAATAATAATAGAAGTAATAATGGGGGAAACGGAAAGGTACAATCAGAATAAGTCTTTCAGTTGAGAAACAACCATTTTTTATGAAGAAAGTAAGAGAAGGTTGCAGCAGGATCGCTACTGGCTTTTATTCTGAGCCATATCTGATAACGTCTCTAGCCACTGTGTTGCACCACCTCTAGGACTCCAGCCAGGGAGTCGAGAAGGACCAACAGAAGTCAGCCCTTTACAGCACACTAATGCAGCTCGGACAACAGATAGGCCTGGCTATGTCTTTAAGAAGTTTTAATCTCGATGTTTCTTCTCTATTCGAGACCCGTATTCGAGACTCTGGTAAAGTACAACAAATTCGCTCTCCATCTGTCACTTCAAAAGGCTTGTTTTACGTGCGTTTATCCGAGGACCCTGTGGCATCTCCGTCTGGTTTTCCTGGCGTTGGTGTCGCACTAAATGCTAGAGCTGAGGCAACACTAATCGACTGGATCCTCACTAACAGTTGGTTATATACTGTTAAATTAGAAAGTTCCATGTAAGTGAGAAGAAATCGGCGTGAGAAACGATGTTTTTTCGTCATCTCCGCCTATACCCTGACAGATTGCAGCCCGAATGCAATCAAGGATGAATTCTACCACCAGTTAACTGTTCTTCTCCAGAAGGTGCGTTCGACAGATATTGTAGTACTAGCCGGAGACTTGAATGCTCAGGTCGGGCGTCTAGGCACAGAAGAGAGTCGTTTAGGTGGTCGATGGGGACTTGTTGGTCGCAGGACAGATAACGGAGACCGTCTACTGAGACTGTGCACAGACAACAACCTGTTTCTGGCTAGCACTGACTTCCGGCACAGTCATCGCCGATGTGCCACCTGGCGTCCTCCCTCTTCATCTCAAGACTGGAATCATATTGATCACATTGCGGTTAGCTACCGCTGGTGTGGTTGTGTACAAGATTGCCGCTCCTTTTGGAGTACCTATCTGGACTATGATCATGCCCTGGTCTGCGCCAATCTTACCTTACTTTTCAGTGGCCAACGAAGTGATCTTCACCAAAGGATTGATGCCAGCAAGTTGGTTGCAACTTCTGTTGTAACTAAGTATCGAATCGAGCTAGCTTCTAGGCTAGCTACCATTCCACTGAAAAGTATAGATGAGCATTTGTTGCAACTGTATGACGCCATGAAAATGGCGGGTAAAGCTGCTTGCGGCTTCGCGAAACGTCCCACTTATAAGCACTGGGTTTCTTCAGGCTCCTTACAACTCATCGAAGCTCGTCGGCCTACTCCGGGTGACCGTGAGTTTGACCACAAACGAAGGATATTACGTAATAAAATCGGGCAAAGCTTGCGTAAGGACCGAGAAGCCTGGTGGTCGGAGCGTGCTAATGCGCTGGAAGCAGCAGCTGCATCTGGTAACTACCGGAAGCTCTTCCAACTCATCCGAGTCACTGACAGTAAGAAGTCTGATGTGAGTGAAACAATCTGTGAGGATGACGGGATGCCAATCACTAACATCCATTGACGTCTTGGACGATGGGCAGAATTCTCCGAAGGGTAGTTCAACTGGCCTGCTTCTCCGGCGACATCGGTCAGACTGTCCTGACCTCCATGCCCGCCGATGGCTGATCCACCAAATAAGGCGAAAGTCCGCAAGGAACTCCAACTCTTGAAGCGCCACAAATCACTGGGCCCAGATGACTTACCTCCGGCTCTTTTTAAAGATGGTGGTGACTTTCTGGCTAAGGAACTGACAACGTTGTCCACAAAGGTCTGGGAACTAGAGAGTGTACCAACGTCATGGAATGAGTCGGTAGTTGTCCCTATCTTTAAAAAGGGATAAGTCTACTTCCGATTGCGTCCAAGCTATTGGCTTCCGTCATACTTCGTAGGTTGTTCAAAACCCGAGAAAGATTGACTCGCGAGGAGCAGGCTGGTTTTCGTCCTGGTCGAGGATGTATTGATCACATCTTCACCCTCCACCAAATGTTAGAACACCGTCATACAACCCTCACTAAGTCGGTTGGCAATTAGTGTTCGTAGGCACGGTATGTGATTTGCACCTTGAAGTGCAAAGTACTTCTACAAGACTGACAGGACCCTGAACCTGCACTCAACCTGGGTAGTAAGTAGATAGAAGTAGTCGAGAAGTCCGTGTATCTAGGTAGTTGTATAAGTGCTAGTGGTGACGTGAGTGATGAGATCAATGCACGTATAGTGAAAGACAGAACGGCTTATACCAATCTGGACCATCTTTGGCGCCTTCGTGATGTTAGCCTGGCTGTAAAAGGTCGGATCTACAACGCGTCGGTGAGAGCAGTTTTGCTCTATGCTTGTGAAACCTGGCTTCTCCGAGTTGAGGATGTCAGACGACTCTCTGTGTTTGGTCATCGTTGTTTCCGAAGGATTGCTGACATCCAGTGGCAATACAATGTTAGTAATGCAGAGATTCGGCATCGTGTGTTCGGGCACAGAGATGATAATGCAGTTGGTGTCATCATCTCGAAACACTGACTTCGGTGGCTTGGGTATGTTCTACGAATGTCGTTCCAGAGAATCCCACGTCGTGCATTATTTGCCGACGCCGGGACTACTGGTTGGAAAACGCGGAGAGGTGGTCAGTGTATGACATGGTGTCGTGGTGTGAAAGAAAGCTGCAAAGGGCTGGTCTGTGTTGGTCCTTCACGACTCCCTGGCTGGGATCCGAGAGATGGTGCAACAGTGGCTAGAGACGTTATCAGATATGGCTCAGAATAGAAGCCAGTAGCGATCCTGCTGCAACCTTCTTTTACTTTCTTCATAAAAAGTGGTTGTATCTTCCTTAACTGAAAGAATTCTTCTGGTTGTGCCTTTCCGTTTCCCCCCCCCATTATTATTATTACTACACTACCTTACACCAATCTGTGGTCGTTATTGTCCTTTTTTCTTATACGCTTTTTACCTCCTTCTTTCCCATTCTCATTGTTTTGTGTGGCGCATATATATTTGGTGCCCTCTTGTACCAATATTTATGTGTTCAAATAAATAAATAAATACTTGCTCAAGGATCATAGATTTATTAGAACTAACGGACTTCACATCTGTCAAAACAGACCAATCAACACTAGAAAAATGATTGATAAGAAGTTACCTTTATAAACGGGACGCTACTCGAGGCTACAAGGAATTTTGTGCACTACTCTTGAAATTTCGTTTACATTAATCAATGAACAGGTAGTTAGGTAGAAATCTGCTTTGTTTGAAATACTAGATGGTTGGGTTCCTAATATCAACCCAATATAGTGACTATTTTATTGAATACCTAGGCAAAAAGTGATTGTAGAACAAGCTAATGATACACTGAGAATGCATGTAAATATCGTAGAAGGGGTTACGAGATTACATATACCTAAACCGCAGATACATTTCTATGAAACGTGATGTACTTGGGTTTAGCAGTGAGTGAAAGGTATAAGACACTGGATAATGCGTTGACTATGGCTTTCCCAGAAGTTGGTGCTAAATGAAAGGTTAAAACCAATATTTTTTTTACTTTCAATCTGAAATCGACCAGTTTTCACAGACTATTTACACAGCCCTTTAAACTGCGGCAAGATTCAAAAGATACGGATAAAAACATGTTACTAAAACATATTATTAAAACTACTATCCTAAGCCAAGTCGTAAGCGATTAAATAAAAAAAACTGTAAATAACTTACTTTACTTTCGACTATTCGCTCTTTTTTTGTCAGACCATTCGGGCTGAAAATGAAAATAATTTCCCGGTGTCAATTTTACCACGAATTACAGAATGTACGATAATAAATTAAACAAGTTTTACTGATCGTGCTAAAATGAATGATACAGTCAGGTGTCCTAAAGATATAACATGAAGTTCACATTTTCCAATCAAATCTAGTATTTTACAAACCATAAGTAAATTGCCGGTTGCTTCTAGTCTGCCCGGCCATATAATAACTGTGTGGGAAAAATTAGATGTAAAATAATTTAAGATATATGGTGAGGAAATTCGTCAAAAACCACTTTAAATTTTAAAATGATAATAGACAAACAGATAGCTCTTTCGCTTGTAATCCTGGCAACACCATCTGAATACTCACTTAACTACGTTTGAATAAATAAAACCCACGGTTGAACAAAACGTCATTAGCTAAATACATGTCTGTATAGTGGAATTCTAGCCACACATTGTCTACGTATTAAAAATATTACCCAACCACCTAAACAGAATAAATGTGGTTTTAAAACTACAAACTAAAGACGAGTCCTTAAATGATTGATACGACACCCCCAAATGCCCTGGTACGGCCGAGAGTGTGGAGAGTCCACTCTCCCTCTCGAAATGTTCTCACATGGCCACGTGTAAATAGCCTCTGCCAGGTAAGTCCTACTCACTGCCTTCTCGTGGCGTGGTTGTTTATGAAATTGAGAGGACAAAAAGCGAATATCCAGAGCTTTAACCGGGCTGGTGGGCATGGAGAGTCCACCTAGGGGAGTTGGAAAACCCTCATTCCAAACTAATGGTGCACATGGGCTCCAGTATCCTGAAGGGACAAATGGTGTATGAATCAACTGTTGGTCACCGGTTACCATGGGACTGCATCTCCCTACGATGCTCAAGTGCCTTGTGGACCAGCCCTTTAGGTCGAGGGCTCGGAGAGTGACCCCCTAAGTAAACCACCTGCTTCGGTCTGGGCACCCGGGCAGTATCACAGCCCTCACACAAATCAAATGAGACTCGTGTGGCGCATATGTATTTGGTGCCTCCTTGTACCAATATCTATGTTCTCAAATAAAATAAATAAATAAATAAATAAATACACACGGAATAAAACTATTTCAGAATTTATATAATCTGTTATAAATATAAACAACAGGTTTACGGAACCATTAAAAGATCACTGCTATCATTAAATGTTCACGATTTGCTTACAGTATGTAAGACGTCTTCCTACAGTCATATTACCGAATTGTAAATTGATAGTCTAGAAACCAAAAACTCCTATCACTGAGGAAAATAGGGAGAATATAACCTGAATAAGTACTTTTACTACAGGGCAAATTATGGCATTTTCATTTACAGTACAGAAAACTAAAGACTTTGTGGCTCAGTCCGGATGCATGAATAACCTCATGGTCAGATTTAGACAAGTTTATTTGCGAACTACTTCCATTTCGTTTAGAATACATTGTAAAAACAAGTACCCATCAACTTACACTCGAGCCACTAAACAAAATAGACAAACTTATGTCCAAAGTTATAAGATGCGGTTATTCGGCCTACCTAAGTTATATATTGCGTTCTTCAACAAACGCCTCTCAAGAGTTTTTGCCAATTACTTTCTTAGTTGCGCTGAATAAGTGGCACACAGTAGACACGAATACTTAGTCCTAGTTCAGTTTTCCGCAGGATAATGTTATGTCTAACTTAAAATCTTAGGAGATATCAGCCAATTTTATATATTTCTGATTATCATATGAGCCTTCTGTTTTACTGTCATTAACTACATTTACTGAGCTCATAGCCTCATCTTCTGTACGAAAACTATCATGTCCAAATTAACATTCGTGTTAAAATTACATTTAAGATAGGGATTTATATTGACAATAGCTCTAAATAACATCTGAACTGTTGTTAACTGAAAGCTGCATACATATTATAAGCAGTAATTGCAGTTGTAGTCGCTTGATAGTCTAATTTGTTGCTTCCACTAAGCACCAAGTAAACAAAACATGGATTCAGGGAACTTCCCGAGAGATAGTGAGTGTTCTCTGAGCTACTTAAGCGGATGTACACGCAGGCATCAAGAAAAATCAGTGAGAATCAATGAAGCACGAAGGCACTTAAAGAGGCTTCGGATCTGTTACACCAATGCACGAAGCTTACTTAATAAGCGATCGGAACTAGGTGTACAGATTGACTCTACAAAGCCAGATATAATCGCAGTAACAGAAACCTGGCTGACACAGGCTATAGATAGTATAGAACTTGATTTCGAGGGCTTTACGTTAGTAAGGGCCGACAGAACACAAAAACGCAAAGGAGGGGGAGTAGCTCTATTCATTAGGAATGCTATCCCATTTACCATTATCGATAGTGTATCCCATGAGAGTGGGACGTGTGAATTAGTTAGTCTTCGCTTAAAATGCAAGGGACAAGAGCTGCTGATTGGTTTGGTCTATCGCAGTCCAAGCTGTGAGGCAAATGAGATCCTGTTAAGCAGTCTCAATACTTGGTCCCAAAGTGGTCGATGTCTAATCCTAGGGGACTTTAATGCACCTATGGTAGACTGGGAAAATCTGCGAACTAAATCGTCGGAGAATTCTTTCGAGCAGGAACTAGTTGATGCGGTTATCACATGTGCTCTAGTGCAACATGTGAAAGAAGCGACAAGGTACGATCCGGACACTGAATCATCCTTATTAGATCTTATACTGACTCACTATGAGGATGATGTTGTGAACCTCCATCATATGCCACCCTTAGGTAAAAGTGACCACGCAGTTTTAACTTTCGACTTCCATATAACTGCCAGTCATGAGGACGCGTCAGTCCAGTCCAGACCCAACGTCTGGAAAGCAAACATACCAGACATCATGCACTCAGCATCGTTAATAGATTGGACAATAGACCCAGAGTCCTCCATTGAAACGGCCTGGGACGCATTTCGAAATTCATACTTAAAAGTTACCACACCTCACATCCCTTGGACTATACCAAAGGGGCCGAAAAACTCACCACCATGGTTCAGTAGGGAGGTCCGTATCCTTCTCCGTAAGAAAAGGAAAATGTGGGATAGATTTAGGTTACTGGGGACTGATGAGTCAAAATCTCAGTATCGAAAGGCTCGGAACACTTGTGCCTCGACCCTCCGTAAGTCTAGAAAATTGTACGAAGAAAAACTTGTTAAGGAATCCATAGAATGTCCTAAACGCTTGTATTCCTATATAAACCAAAGGACAAGGAGAAAAGGAAATATTCCTGCTCTATGGGGAGACAGTACTGCTTCATCATTAGTGGAGGACGACTTTGGTAAGGCTCAAGCGTTCTCGAACTACTTTAGCAACGTGTATACCATAGAAGCGCCCTTCTCGTCAGCGTATACAGATCCCCCCATACATACACTGGATAGCGTGACCATTAAAGAACTCGATGTCTTTGGTCTGCTAAATAAGCTTGACATAGGTAAATCCACGGGGCCCGATGAATTACATCCTAGGCTACTGAAGGAATTATCTAACTTCGTTGCAAGCCCTTTAAGTACATGCTTTAACCTATCCGTTACGCAGGGTCGCTTACCGAAAGATTGGAAAAACGCCATAGTAAGTCCTGTCTTCAAAACAGGCACGAAACACAAACCTGAGAACTACCGCCCCGTTAGCCTAACTAGTGTGGTTGTTAAAATATTAGAAAAGATTATTCGGAAGGAGCTGTTTAAGTATCTCGATAAAAACCGGATCCTCTCGGAGAAGCAGCACGGCTTCAGAATAGGTTATTCTTGTCTCACTAACTTATTAGTGGCTCGTGAAAGCTGGTGCGCTCTTAAGGACCAAAAGCTACCTGTAGACGTCGCCTTCATTGATTTCAGTAAAGCTTTTGATAAAGTTCCGCACAACCGGCTGTTATATAAGTTAAGAAAAGTCGGGATTGGAGGCAATTTATTGATGTGGATAAAAGACTTCTTAGTTGGGCGTCAACAAAGAGTTCGGGTGAACTCAAAGTTATCTAGCTGGGAAACTGTGCTTAGTGGAGTGCCCCAGGGTACAGTTTTGGGGCCAGTGCTATTCCTCTTGTATGTAAATGACCTTCCTTGTCTCCTATCATCATCGGTCTTGCTATATGCTGACGATGTCAAGATATGGAAAACGATACGATGTAAGAGTGATAGCTTAGAACTTCAAAATGACCTGAAGAAGTTATCTGAATGGTCTCAAACATGGCAGTTGCCGATAAATACTTCCAAGTGTGTTGTGATGCATATCGGTCATCAAGGCACAGATACATACACGATGAATAACACTGAGCTACCTGTCGTCCAGACATATAATGACTTAGGAGTTATCGTTAGTCAAGACTTAAAGACTACTGCACACTGCCGTGCAATAGCCGCCAAAAGTTTTAGAACGTTATGGTCAATACGTAGGGCTTTTAGTCATGTCGACGCTAAGACGTTTTTGACTTTGTATACAGTGTTCGTTCGTCCTAAACTTGAGTACTGCATACAAGCGGCTAGCCCCTGCTTAAAAAAGACAGTGAGCTTCTGGAAAAGGTTCAGAGAACGGCGACTAAGCTGGTTCCCGCAATAGCGAAGCTTCCGTATGAATCTCGACTGGCCAAGCTGAACCTTTTCCCGTTGTCATATCGCAGAACTAGAGGCGACTTGATTACAGTCTACAAATTGCTTAGTGATAAATTTGCACCTAACATGCCCTCATTTTTCTTGTCTTCCAAAACAGAGAATTTACGAGGACACTCCAAAAAAGTTCACAAGCCGAGAACAAATTACTTGTCAGCTGACTATCGACTTTCCCATCGAATCATCAACGAGTGGAATTCACTACCTCAGCACGTGGTTGAGGCTCCATCCGTCGACTCTTTCAAAAGAAAGTTGGATCAACTGAGAGACCACCATTGCCAGGACTAACATAGGCCATCGAGCCTCCTGTCCTTCCCAAACTGAAACTGAAACACAGGGTTTCTGAAGACAATAAATATCTAAATAAAATTGCATGCTAGGCAAGCGAAATTTTAGACTGTCGCTTATTCTTTGTTGGCTTACTTGCTGGTGAGGATTGAAGCGTCTAATCGTTAAGAAAATGGTAATTATGTGTTGTGGAGATTTTTGAATTAAAATTTTCATATCACCAAAGTCGATCTGTAATGTGAAACTTCAAATAGCTGTAGTATAAACAATAACTATGTTTGAGGTGCCGGAATCTATGATCATGAACAAGTCACCGCGGTCACATTAAAGCTTGTAGGTAAATAATGCAAGACTTGTCGTAAATTGACGGTTAATATGCGTAAAAGTGAAAGAACATTGATCCAAGCAACATCAAAACAAGCAATTTCGGCGAACAGATGTCAAAAACTTTTAATAAAAGCTATATTTAAGAGATACAAGACTGAAAACTATTAAAAACATGATCCAGACTGACTAAACAAAACACTTACTGGTAAAAGCCGTAGTAATCTCTATTTTCCGAATCATTAATTTCCAGGTCATCAGAAATATAATTTCGATTACCAGAAGCCTTTGGGTTGATATATTTATCTACAAAATTCTCAACATCTGGTTTAACATTATTTTCAAACATTTTGAGATATGTATAACATCATAAAGTTTCAACCCAAAGGTGAACATAGATTGCAACGATGTCTTTTGTAAATGTGTCTAGATTCAATCTACAATATGTGAGTCGACTGATATTGTAAAATTTTATCGATATTTTCAGAGTGCACCACTCTTGAAAAATCATTATGAACGATAAATGTTGGGTTTTTTCAAGGCAGAAATCTGAAAAAGCAGTCCTACAACCATTTGGCTTCAATTGTAATATTTACACCTGGGTTCATATTTATCTATTTTGGTTTAGTGCTATGTACATTGTCGGTTCAGACCAATTTTAAACACTCTTGACTTTTGGGGTCTTTTTCTACTGTTGTAATTGACATTCTGTTAAATAATATGTGGACACTAAAACCGGTTCTCAAAGCGTCTGATTTGTCTTTTGTGTTGGCATTTGGATATCTCGTAACTTCACCTCTCCGTAATTATTAATTATGTCGGTTCAAAGTTCTTCCAATATTCTGCATAATCAATATCTTTCTGAATGGTTTGCATAAGGCAATAAATCTATTCGTTCTCTTTCTGAGTAGCTTAGTAATGACGTTTTGTCAAAATGTTCTTTTGAGATAAATTGGGAAACTTAGTATGTTACGTGTCAATAACAGGTCACGTCTTGCTGTTATTAACCTAGACGAGGACAGTCTGTTATAGCTCAAAACCGCCAATCAGAAGCAGCAGATTATCGATCGGACCAAGGACGCGTAAAGCTTGTGCGAGCAGCCTAGAGTCCTGATTGGTCCTGCTTCCCGCCTAGCCCAGCCAGTTAAGTCCAGAACACCAGTCTCAGCCTCCGCAATATGAATCCTTATATTTCAAACATATTGGGTTTATATACCAATCAAACAGACCACAACATAGCACAAAATAGAAAACAACATTCGCACAAAATTTGGCCGAATGTGGCTGTGAATGTGGGAGGCAGTGACTAATAGACAGGTCATACTTCAAGAATAGTAAAGCGTATAATAGTGGTTCATAAGTCAAAATGAAGTTTATAATAAGAGGAATGTGAATATTAATAGTTTAGTTATTTAACAATTATACGATAAAAATATACGTTTAGTATTGGTCAATAAATGGATCCCAAAGTTACCATTCATTATGTTTATCGGGACCTAACACAATCTCAAGAGTCGAAGCCTACATTCGTAAGACAAATTGCCTAGCCTATTCACCTAGACTCCGCCTGTAGTCCTTCTAGGACTATTACTAGTCTGAAGCCCAGATCAAGAAGGAGGGTTGAGTATGGGGTTATCAATCTCATGCCTGAGAAACACAACTTTGCTGAAAAAACGCTAACCAGAAAATATCATTTTAACCCTTCGTACTCTGTCCTGGGAGTTGGAAGGTCTTCGTTTGGAAGAGTTATGATGCCTCATGTTGAAACCCGTGATTCTTCAACAATCACGAGAACGGTGCTTTTATTAAATACCACAGCAACAATCGACATAAGTATGTGGAATGCTCGCACAACGTGGGAGTATATAAAAGTTAAGCTACGTAAGCACTGAACAATTGGACAAACAGCATTCCAAAGGTTTAATACAGTTTTTGTTCAAGACACTGTCGATCTTAACTCATTCAAGATATATCTCAGCAATAGATTTCATGCCTTGTACGATTTACTGAATGAAGAGGGAACTACTGAGGAGATCGACCGAAAAGGTATTGAAGAAGCTGAAGATGTCACAAGTATTTTGAGTTTGATAACACCTTGTATAATCGGAACGTGTCGACCAAGTGAAATCACAAGTCAGAAGCTAAGAGATTCGAAGACAAATTTGATAGGCTATCAATATATTGAGAAGCGACTGATCTAAACTGGCTAGCGGCTGCAGGGGTTGTTGAGCACGGCCTTCTCACTCGTGATCTGGTACGGATGTATGACCAAGCGCCTTGAGCTAGGTGAGTCCATTTAAAATTATGTGGTCAGCACCCATTGATTTCAGGGATTTACTTACCGCCACGGGTCACCCCCCTAGTTTAGTAGTGATGACCCTAAGACGTGGCCATCAAGAAGTTTAAACTCAGCTAGTTTGTGGTTGGTAAACACTCTTCTGATGGTTTGCTATGTTCAGCAACGTCTGTTCGTCTCTCCTTACCTTAAGAGAACATGTGGTATGATATAATAATGAAATAACAGGTACAATGAAAATCCACTTCATCGTAAACTTCGTTACTTTTCCGTCTTTGCAGCCGTTCTGGAAAAGAAAAAGAAAGGATATGTAGGTGTATGTCGAATTACACGGGTGAAGAAGAAAAATCAACTCATATACATGCGTTTCGTAAACGTGCCATAGCGTAAAAACGATTCTCGCACAATGGTTTTTTTGAAGAAAATGAAAATAATCACATAAGTGAGCACATTGGTAACAAAAACGTCATATCTTTGGAATAAATATACATGTATATATAAGCATATTAAAGACATTTTTGTCATAATACAAATAAAAATCGAGACGAAACAAAGTGATTTGTAGCGTTTTATGTGCAGTAATCGTTTACGTGTTCTGGAAACCTTGCTCTTCTCCTGAAACGCGTTGTTTTAAGTATGTTATCAGATACCACCAAAGTATCATCGTTATTGTTGGTTATCGGCTGAGGTATTATAAATATTGGACTCGCGTCTTACGATTGTACCGAAGGAAGATGGACATGAAAATGGTTTCTCTCTAAATACGCTGCTTTGATGCGATCAACGCTGATGCTATCGTTAGTTCCTTTCTTATCGACTATAAAGTACATAGATTCACGCTGAATGACTTTGAAGGGTCCTTTGCATGCTGTTTTGAGAGGTACGAATCCAAACAATCACCAAAAAGCATAACGACATTTCTAACCTTGACTGTTCGCTCACTAAAGTACTTAAAAGTGAACCATGTGACAAAACACATCCAACTAAACCTATTCACATGAAAACTAGTCCTCATAAAGGTACTCCACAAGATGGCTTGACTGAACTTGAATTCATCTCGCAAGGACAAAGAAACTCGCCGTCCCTGACAAAAAAGTGTGGGAGACAAAATCTACGATACCGAATAAGGGAACACGTAGGATTTAACCCAACTGTTCTGCGGGTATCTCAACAACAGTGAACAGGTTCTCCCCGCTGGGATCACATAACTTGCCATCAAAACCTCTGGCAAAACTGCTGGTAAGCTTGAGCGTACCAAGCTTTTTACTGTCAAACCAACAAGAACTATCAGAGTACCAACCACTCCACTTACCCCCTAAGGCCAAGAACCATTAATAGCTCACGCCCTATACCGACTGCCCAGGATTCAAATTTTAATTAATCTCAGAAAGCTAACTTTACACATCCTTCAGTACCAACCCACTACATTAAGTTGGCCCCCCACGTATAATAACAGTCATACCTACTTCCAGTTATGTGCAACAGGTCCTTCGCACGTTCACAGTAACGCAAGTAGCTGTAAGCGAACATATGAACTTAACTATCAAGAACATTTTGCAAGTAACAGTACACTCCACAGTCAGCCTGTACCAGATCATTTTGGAATACGGCGACTTGTTTCACCTCTGTTGAAACATATAGCCCAAGTCATTTCAAATCACATGCGGAACATAAACTTGGTCCCCTCGTGCAGCTCCAATCAGAAAGTATTCCCGCCCTTTCCTTCTGGGTGAACTCTCCAAGCAATGTCACTTGATATATCCTCCTCTAACTTTAGCGATCTAAATAATCAGCTATTAAAGAACAAACAATCTTTCACTTTAAACCCATATCATACCCTTGAGAGTTATGACAACTTTAATCGAGATACTCTCCCCCATTTTAACTTAGCGGGCCATCTGTTTACCAAGTGTCTTATCAGCTCTGGGTCAATCTGCAATAAAAAGATGGATTTAGCCCAGTTTGTATCCATTTATCAACCACCACTTTCAATGATATCTGAAGCATGGACTAACAGTAATATTTTCAAACTAAGTATATCTCTTGATAATTATTTCCTATATCGAAGTGATAGGTTTAAAGGACGAGGATGAAGATGCCTTATTTACGATTATTTAGCTTAAACCCACTATTATATGATATGCCTGAACTAACCAAACTTTAAAATTCAGTGTGAATTGATTTAAATCCTTCGAATTTCATTTCCTTACTGTTCGGTTGTGTTTACCGTCAACCTGACGCATCATCCCTTCCATTCACATTCAAGCTTATTTGTGGTGACTTCAACATGCCTGAAATTTCTTGGTTTTCAGTTAAGGCTTCGAAAAGTTATGAATCGTCTATTGAATGTCTAGAGCTCGGATAGAGGATTCAGTATGTCAGTAGTCCTGCCAGACATCAGAAAATCTTGAACTTGGTCGTTACAAGTGGCTTCACCCCTAACACTGTCTACATTAAAAACGCTTCCAGGTAACGATTATAACACTGTCATATGTAGCCTTAATATAAGCGCCACACCCGGCAGACACAAAACTGTAATACTTTGTAAAAATGATCACAAAGTCGATTGGAAGAACTTTCAAAATTACCTAAGAAGTGCTGATTAGGAAACCCACACACTAACTGATATATTCTATCAAATCATAAATATCTACAACAAAATCGCACCTTTAAAATACCGGAAAACCAAGTTTTCTAAAGATTTGTATATACCGGTCTCTGCGCGAAGACGCCTTCCAATACATTGTACTCAATTCCACAATCTTAATGATTTTTCTCCTTTAGTTATGATGATGGAAATATTTACCCAGGAAGAGGCAATACGTACACAAAAAACGGTCTCACAGGAAAAAAGTGCCATCGAACTTGATAATGACTCATCTGCACTTATCAAACGCCTTCAAAATGAACTTAAACGCAATAACTCGAAAGGAGAAAACATACTTATTAAGCACAAATAAGTATACGAAGATTCTCAACTTGTTGTGGGATTATTTAATGAGCACTTTTTTTCTCATTAACCAACGAAATATCATTGAATGAATCAAAATCAA